AAAAAATAATATCACATTACAATTTAACATATGATGCGAGCACATATGAATTAGACTCATTAGTGAAGAATGCAACAAAGTCATATTTTCCAATAATCAGTGAAAAATTCTGATATTTTCATGAAAATCTTGGAAAATAGAGGCTTAACCCTTCCATTCTTAAGTATTTTTTAAAAACTTTGTTACGAATTTTGGACAAAATTGACATACAGTAAAACATGTTGAAATAACTACATGTCATTTTAGTAATTTGACTCAATGCATGAATCTTAATTTACCTAATAAATTACCTCTGTGTGAAGATATATTTAAAGTAATTTTTTTATTGTCTACTGGTCTTGATAATTTTTTTGTAAAAAAAAAATTGAAAAAGTTATTAGAATTTTATTTTATGAAAGCAGATAAAGTTGACTTTAGTTTAGTAAGAATAACTGTGAAATTTGTATTTCAACTACAGATATTCTTACTTGTTAATGTACCGGTAGTAGTACTTACCGACAGAAGTTAGATGGTGCAACTAAGGCATAACCAATGCATGTACCGCCAAGTGATTTACCAAGTTCATATAATAATCCTAACTGCATGCATTCAATTGGTAAAACAATCAGAAAGAGGCTCAGAAAAATAGCATTGTCCTTTTGCCATGACACCGCAGTCAGCATCAATGTTGTCACAAAGGAGAAACATATAAACCGTTGTGAAATCAAACAGAAATACCGAAGTCCTTTAGAGGACATTATCCGACTCATGCTTTTCGCTTCCTTGGTCATGGATTTGTAGATGTTCAGACTTTCATAGATTTTGCTCAGAAAACTCCACCATGTAAATATTTGGGCGGAATGGAAACAAAGCCACAGCAGACCAAATAGAATGAAAAAAGGGATAGAAAAATACCACTCTTCGTGACTGACCATTACTTGACCCGCAAAGACGAAGAACGCAATCTCAAGCACAATGATGAGGAAAACTGATAAAATGCTGAGAAATCTATTGGTGTAGAGGTAGCATTGCCAACGTTCTAATAGGGATAGACTACAGAAGTATGTATCTAAAATGGAATCAATTGCTAAACGTCCGGCGAAACAGCTCAGAGCAAAAGGATTCGGTGGAATATGTATCGCTGGGAATAAAAACACTGCTGTGATGGTACAGGCCACAGCTAATGTTGGTATGGCAAGTAACACTCGTAGACGCAGAGCAATAAGAGTCAATGCGTATGATAAGACAAGCAGCCATACAGCAACTATATCATCTTGTAATATCACACTGGCAACCGCAAATCCAATCAGTTCAAAAGCCTCCATATTTGTCAGTAGAATCGACCGGTACGTCATGAGTCCGCAAATCCGCTCAATTAACACCCAGAAACATTTCAATCCTAAGCTAGTCATTAGCATAATATTCATTATAGTTTCGGAAATCTCGTACTGGAATTCCTCATATTTAGTATATGTTATCATTCCGAGCAGGCAGCCGCACCAAAGGTTGAAGAAGCACGTGCTGACGCCTTCAAGTCCAAAGTAGTAGTAAAAGATGCCACAGAGAGCGAATAAAAACAACCCACACGCAGTGAGTACCAGTAACATTGTGTCTTGACTGTGAAGCCATCGGTTATATAGTCCGGCACATATCCCAATGAGCAACACCAGACTGCTCAGATGACTGATGTAACGTACGTTACACTGTCTGTGTACTTCCATCATCTTGTTAACAGGAATATGGAGACAATGACTGGTGAAATACTTGAATGAAATCATTGAATTTGATGTTAGTCAACAGAACATTTGATGAGTTCAAAAGCCACCTTATTTGCTGGTTACCATAACTACAGGAATGAAGCAACAGGGAAGGTTGTACAAACTTTAGGCAGCTACCTGCAACAGACAGGAAGGTGTAAATTACATCCTAATTATAATTATAACCTTATATCTCAGAGGAGCATGCTATTTTTTGTAGTAAACGTAGTAAACCCTTAGTTTACAAAAACATAAAAGTGAGTGGCTTAGCATCTACTCAGTTACAATGCAAAATGGATTCTCATATGAATCACTTGGCATTGTGAATCTGAATCTGAAGACAACTATACTTCTTTAATCCACAGTTACAATGCAAAATAGATTCTCATATGAATCACTTGGCATTGTGAATCTGAATCTGAAGACAACTATACTTCTTTAATCCACATTTACAATGCAAAATAGATTCTCATATGAATCACTTGGCATTGTGAATGTGAATCTGAAGACAACTATACTTCTTTAATCCACAGTTACAATGCAAAATGGATTCTCATATGACTCACTTGGCGTTGAGAATGTGAATCTGAAGACAACTATACTTCTTTAATCAACAGTTACAATGCAAAATAGATTCTCATATGTATCACTTGGCGTTGTGAATATGAATCTAAAGATAACTATACTTCTTTACAGCCGTTCTGAGAATTATTCGGACAGTCAGTTAGCAATATATGTTGGAACTTTGCAAAACACTTGGGTCTTTTCCAATCTAGACTTGATGGCGCCGTTATATTGGCACGCCCACAATTGGAATCATTCCATTATCTTGCAAGATGCGTATAAACGCTGTTTTCAAAACGACACGCGCTGGTTACCATATATTAACAGGTTATATGTTGTATATGCAAAGTGTTATTTTAAATTTTTATAACCATCTGAGTCCACCTGACATAGCGTAATTTACAAAACAACTCCCGAGTGTTGAGTAACCCCAGGTATTAATGAACTCGTCGTTGGCGGGAAGGCTCAAAATAAAGTTTCTTAGCAGGACGCGCTGCAGTTTCGCGCCAAACTAAAAGTTGTTTTCACATTACTGGTGCTGTGAGTACGTCAGGGATACACAGACGGAAAACTCAATTATAATGGTTTGATGGATTTTGTCAAATCAAAAGTGCCTTCCTTGATCGAATCACTTTTTCAACTGCAGTTTGAAAATGACGGGGTATAACGACCGTTATTATGTCTAGTCCATTTTTGTAACAGGTACAACTGACTAAAATGAGCGAGGGGTTGACATTTTTCGACAGATTTAAACAACATCCAACTTGTGATTTTCAAAATTACTGAAAATAATTATAAAAAATAAAGAATGCTTGCTGTATATGCACGCTAGATAATACTTACAATTCACCAAGCCAACAACCCCTATGAAATAGTAATCCCAAACCACGTGCCCGTCACTCAAGTGGCGCCGACAAGTCTAGATTGGGCAAAGACCAAAGTGTTTTGCAAAGTTGCAAGTCATTTTGCTAACTGACTTGTCCGAATAATTCTCAGAACGGCTGTAATCAACAGTTACAATGCAAAATGGATTCTCATATGAATCACTTGGCATTGTGAATATGAGTTAAATATATATAATTAGATGCATAATCTAGTCATGTGCTTTATTATCTTATTTGACTTACCTAGTATACTACATTGTAACGTGTATAGAATTGTATTAATAATATTCAGAAAATAATTCCATGTTTATCATGCCCCACATTATTTGACCAGATTTTTGTTTATTCCATTTTTAAAACATCTGCAAACATGCTGGTTATAACCGCAAATAATCCACAAATGCAACCAGACCCTGGCTGGTTTATATGATTTATACTTATTTATGATGCATATTTCCAAATGCATGACCACAGATTCACATTGTACTGATGATGGAACATATTGATATAGGACCACACAAGTTATTTGTCATATGCTCTGTCAGAAGCGCATATAAGCCAAAATAATTTTTTTATGGTAGATATTAAGTTAACAAAACCACAGTCTCCCTATCATAGAAGGGTACAGAGGGAGGTGTGACAACAGAAACACTTAACCATTTATAAATCAAGCAAAACAATGATAATTACACTGTCAAACACATTCAAAACAGGGTTGTATACTATTGCATTCAAACATAAAGTCACCATAGCATATGAATAAGCAGGCATTTTCACATGCAGTATAAATCAACAGTAGGAATTTGTGATGGTGATACTACCGGGGGGGGGGGGGGTTGCTTCCACTGAAACGCTACACTGGAATAAGGATGCATGTGTTACAAAGAGTGGTGTCTGAAATTGTGATCTAAAATGTCAGCATTCAATGATATTAAATTATGAAGGGACCAAATTTAGCATGATCAACTTGCTTGGGAAATCTCTCAAAATAGTGTCTCATAATCCAACCCGATAAATGTGTGTGTGAATCGGATTTTAGGAAAGATGTTCATTTCATAAATCATTGCTGTCCGTGACATAAGACAGAAGCATCCAGCCGTGGTTTCGCGTCGTGTTGGGTCCTGATAGGTGCTAAGACTACGTCTTCCGGTATATATAAACGGCAGCGTCGATTCTAGGCATGTGCAATAAACGAAGCCTAAGACCCTATACGGACCGGCAAAACGCCGTGAAACCACGACCACCCAAAATGATCATGATGCAAAACCAAATCATCTATTTACTAAATGCAGGCATTGTTACACGCAATATTAACATCATTGCTATCGTCCATGTGAGATCACAGAAAAATAATCCGCCGAATACAAAAAACAGACAAATAATGTTACCTTCTAAATTACCTTGATGATAGAGATTGAACTCCTGATAAATAAATACTACCCAATCTCGATCTCAAACGCTAAAATGCGTAAGATCAGCCATCTTAATAATGGCTTCCTGGTTCTTTCGATGACGTTGAGGGCGCAAAACATTTGCGTATACTCCGAGCACGAGTACCGATACCCTCGGCACTTCGTTGCGTAGCAAATACATCATTTATAGTGAGCTACCAAATAAAAATATATTAAAATGTGCACAAAAAGAAGCAATCAAAATGAATTCAAATTGTATTTAAAATGTTTAAATTACACGTACAAATGACTGACTGTAACGAAGGTAACAAAAACCAATGAAATAAATTGACTAAATGACTATATACATGTATATACAAATTATATAAGGTAAATTTTGGATATGGTATTATTATTATTTAGATACCATTAATAATTTTGAAAATTATTATCTAAATTTTGGGAAAGTAATCAAAACCCGGAAATATGACTAGAAATAAACCCAAAAATTTAACTCGAGAATAAGTTGGGCAAACAATTGTAAAAGCGTTTTATATTGGTTTCTGTTTATTTCAAAAATGAAATATAACAACTCTTTAAAGACTGCACTATTACATATGAACGTATGATAAAAAGTTTGGTAGTTTCTAAATACGTAAAAGTTACATTTTATAGATAAGCTCCCAGCTTTGGCTGCTACATAAATTTGCGATATTCATTGACTTGTGAAATACTAGTACTGTGGAATCACAAAACACGTGACTATCGCAGAACACGTGACTAATGCGTTACTTATCGAATATAATTGAAATGTACACATTTTTAATTACCTCTCATTCAATCAAACGAGTTTCGTTTTTTAATGGAACCACAGTCCCTCTATCATAGATAGAGGGACTGTGATGGAATTTTACAAATGTATGTACTACACGAATATATCAAACTAATGCCGACACGAATATACTTTATTGTATTATGGAACCTTCGTATTATGGAATCTTGGTGGATCTACCGATATGCCAAGAAGCACTCATGAGATATTCTTTGCATATCATATTGTGCGAGAATGTATCCTTTACAGGGTTAGAATAATTTACATATTTCACCAAATGATATGTCGACGAAAATGCACAGATATACAGTAAAATAAATCCGTATCCTTGTAAAATTATACAAAAACAAGAAATGTTCAAATTAGAATGATGTCGCCCTCATCGTTGAAGTAAAATTATACAATGTAGCATTATGTACTCATGTCGCAATGTGTCTATTTTTGTATAGAACAGAACACAATACAGTCAAGGAGTGTGAAGAGAACAACCGTTCCTGTTACAAATATTAAGAGCGAGAGGAGCCGGGACTACTTTTTTGTCCACTTCAATCTCCATTTACTTCTATGTATATTGTACTATAATATCGACTCAAGATAATTCACATTTCCTGTGCTGTGTTAACTCTTTGTCTTTTGTTTAATATTCAATTTTATATCCTAATGTGTATTTGCACAGAATCCAATCTTGGAAATAATATGGGTCTTTAAAACGAAGTGTGTGTAGTTCTCTATCAACCGAGACCACCATTGAGTGGGGATTACAGTTACATTTCCAGTCATGGTTACAGATTTGAACCGAGTTCAGAAATATCCTCTTCAAAACATTTTCATTTCACTTCATGATAAATTACTTTATTGGATTGAATAATCCTTTTAAAGACAGACTACCTCAACACCACAAGTTTACTACCAATAGGTTAAATGGTAAATTGTCAAATGCTTCAGGAAAGTGGAACGACAGTGTAGATAAAGTGCAACACACACAAGTACAGTACAGTTAAAATTTATTTGCTCAACACTTAAGTATACAGTACTGTAAAATACTTAATTTTTTCGCTTGGATTTAATTTTCGCTGAAGGGATGATTCAGTGAAAATAAAATCCAGCGAATACACCTTTTTTCCTGTATATTACATTCAACTTGTCAAAAATGAGTGAAAATAAATTCCATACAAAACACCCAAAGTCTTTTCAGCGAAAATTAATTCCAGCTAAAATAACATTGTGAAAAAAAGAAATGACGGGATCTCCATATTATGCACTGTATTTAACTTTTTACAAAATGATAATACATTTAAATTTGAAACTGTAACAGCCATTTTAATTATGAGCATTACACTGCAGCAAACTTCTTACTGAGTGAATTGTTATGCAAATTAGCAATTATCTCAGCTTCTTTTTAGTGCACATTTCAGAACTTGAAAAAAAAATAGCTCCTAGACTCTTTGACCTTTTGTTTTGAAATTTTCACAAATGATTGACAATGTGTTTTTCTTCAAAAACGCTGTCGGGGCATTGTTTTTAGTTGAATAGTGTTACAGCAATCATACAGACAACTAGCCTGGGTGTTAATTTATGCATAAACTTGAAGTAGTGAAATTGAGCTGCTGCCCTACAAAATTGACAACTGGTAGACAGTTTTCAAGAGGCGCTTTCTTCATAATAAACAGATGTTCCCATAAACCAATTTTGACAGGAAACAGAAGCATGGTTTAGCAGCTAATTTTTTTTTAAATCACTTTTGACCAAAAAAGCTCATTTTTGTGCATATTTCAAACTACAGTGTTCATAAAAATAAAACGTTAAAATTCATACAGTAAGCTTTCCGAAAATATATAGTTTTGTGGACAAGGGAGGTCATCTTGGTTTCCTAATTAACTAATTAAAATACCTGTTAGGTAAACTGCATCCTTACCTTAATAAAGATACATTGCATACACATCAAAACTTTGTTTTACGTTATGAAATGTACTTCATTTTCCTTGGCCTTACAGCAAGTCTCAGAAGTATTGTGGCAGCCAATTTGCAAACTTGCTAGTGAATTGGCTAACTGCTTTGGTTTTGACTGGACGGTTGGCTTTCAAATCTCTCTGGCGCTATCCTGTGGTCACGCCCACTCTAGGTGAATCTATATAACAGTAGGACGGTCCTTATACTTTAGTTGGATGGCGATTTCGCTTTCAAATATACCAGGGAAAGTGTTCTATTTTCTTAGTGTAATGAAGTGTTTGTATACAAGGGATTGTTCACGCAAAAATGATAAATGAAGTCAAATTTTACTAGCGGTTGGTTTAATGTTACCCAAATGAATCGTTTAGATGCAAAAATTTATTTTCTCCCTGATTTATAGGAAACTTTCTCAACTTGTCTCTTTATTTAGTTTCAATCAGTGTTCAAGATGGCTACCCCCATATAGTAAATATCGGTGGATTAATCTCATTTATAATATTATCACTTGTATGCCAGCTGACTGTGGCGATTCTTAGGCTGACCAGGGAAACTACTTTCACATTATCACGCCTCGCTAAGCAAATCATTCAGGGGAATCCAGACATGTACCAGGCAACGTAAAAGCATACTATGTTCCCTAATGCAATATAGACTCGCCCAGAGTGGACGCGACCACGAGTTGGCGCCAATGAGATTCAGAAGCCAACTGTTTAGTCAAAACCCAAGCAGTTAGCCAATTCGCTGTAAAGCAATCATTAACAAATCTGACAAAACAACACTGTTTAGTAAGTAAGTACTATTGCAACTATTAGAATATAATTTTATACAAAATATATGTAATACAGAATTAATTTCAGAACAAACAGATATTACAACAATCTTACAAGCAGCTTTCCAATGTAGTTTTCAAAATTATTGCACAGAAAATTGGAATGAAAATAGCACACCGAATTTGGCTGCGTTTGCACAATTACGGCATGGCCCAACAGTAGAGTCAAAGCATATACACATGTATACATAAATTGATACATTGAAAAAAATCTGTTGATAATTGATCTTACTTGGGTGATTGGGTTGGATAACCAATCAAGTTTGTTTGTAAGTAGCTTCGCTTCGCGTTGACTTCAATACTAAACTTATTCTGAATACCAAATGTTCATTATTTGCATGAAGAAAGCGCACAAGTAAAAAAAAAATGGCTTCTGAAATACAAAATGAATTACAAATCAGTCTTAACCCTTTGAACATCAGAAATTTTCCTGCAAAGATTTGTGTGCATCATTTCACATATTTTTATATTTTCAAACAAATAAATTTCCAATTGACTACAGGTATTGAATCAAATGTTTGAAAACAAATTGTAAATGAAATATGCAAGTTTATTTTGTGAAAGGAGACAACAGTTATTTTTGGTATTCAAAGGGTTAGTTCAAGACAATGTCTAGTATTTTTTATTGCACAAATTATCAATAGACATTATTAGGAGCACACTCATGATGTTTTGACCATAGAGCCAAGTGTCATTGACTGTTTTCAATAAACAATATTTCAGTAAAATCTGTAAAAGTTTGGATTTTAGTCTATTTAGATTACTGTAAAATCTGTATTAGATTTCACGGCTTCTTTTAAAATGGTACAATGCAGTAGAGGGGAAACTGCTTCTATTGGAGCACCTACACATATGAGAAATGATGAATTTTTGATTCTCAATTATTCAAAAAGAATGGGTGTGGCTTCTAATACAGATTTTACAGTAGTGTGACATGGTCAGTAAAAGATCAGTGCCCACACTCCGTACTTGTCAGGCAATTGAGGGCAGAGTAATTGCATTGACCATGTCAGACAATCGATGTTATCGATTAGTAATTATCATATAAACAATATTGCATCTTATACACCTCATTTACAAGTACTGTTTTATAACAGTTCATATCGTAAAAATAAAGGAAGTATACAATTCACTCAAAGGATAATATATGTTTATGAATGATTTACAAATTGATGTACTAGTATTGAATGAAGATTCTATTCTATAAACCAAAGAAAAAGTTGCACACCATGAAGAATTATTTTTTAAAAACCTTTCACAAAGGCTTCTATGATTAATAATTCAAGTTGCACATCTCGAAACAAATTTAGAAAAAAAAAAACATTGCTGCCACAAAAAAA